GTGAAGGAGAAGGACAGACTGCAGTCATAGCAATCATACAGCAGAATGAATGTGTTTCCTGCAACATAAGGATGTTGGAACTTTGATTTTGTGTTTTTGCTTTGTTATTTCTACAGGTATTCAAAGTGATATGAAAGTCAGCAGAGGAACAGCAAAATGTTAAATAATTTTATTTTGATAATTATTCATTTATTGTATGTTATTTCTTCTGTTCCAACGTGAACATCTCTCCTTAGTTGGGATCCTCCACCTGAGACATTTTTATAGTCTGTCTTTTTGCACTCTAAATTCTTCAGCTATTTAAACATTAAACTTTTTCCAAACATTCTCTCCATAAATATGGGGGAAGCTTTTAAATCATTTACATGCATTGCACTCTTTGAAGGCTAAATATCCACTCCCAGCCCCCTTACTTTCAGGAAAGGAACATTATTTAAACTTTAAACAGGTTACACAACATAAGACTATTACAAAATTCTTCAACTTTTTATTATATTTCTCTACTTTTACATCACAGTTAAGGTTTTATAGTTTTTTTTTAACAGCCCTAAAGTTGATATCACTAACTTCACCTTTTTAACAGAGCTAAATTCCAAACATTGTGCAAGCAAATTCTTTCCATTGTCACACCTTTTGCAATCAATCAAAAAATTCAGAGAAAATAGCCTCTTTCATACATTGGGACTTTTTAAGTTTCTTATCAAACAAAACCTTAAATATATCCTTTAGATACTCACAGACACAGATATTCTCATCTTGCTATATGCAGTGAGGACCATGTGCTGACTCCCATTGATGTCCATGGATTTTCAGTCATTTAAAATCCTTTCTATGCCATAACCCGGACAAAAACCCTAAACCTAATCATTGCCAGTGCACAGCTCACTCTAACCCTAAGCAAAACTCAATTCAAACAGTATCCCTAAATATAAAGCCTTAAAAAATAGCTTGTGAGGACCATAAATATACCCTCACTTTACAACAAATACTCCTCAGCTTTATGGTGAAATCGGAAAACTGGTCCTCAGACATAAAACAAAATCAGATTTTCAAAAAATTAAGATCAATTTAATGTTTTTGACTCTCTGCTGGTATTTTGGGAACCAGGCTAAATCTTTGTCATAGGGATAGCCTGGTTGAGAAAACAAGTCTTGCAAAACAAAAATGAAATAGTTTGCTTCCAATTAATTGTTAAATGTCTGAAGTGCATTTTATTGACCCCAACTTCCCCTGCTACCCTTGCAACCCCCCAAATTAAATCCAGTACAACTACCTGCATGACACTGTATGCTGGACTCTCAGCAAGTATGCCATCAATTCAAAAGTATTTCTGTAATGGATGCATTATTATTTGCCCTGATGCTGGAGATAACATCAATACCACTCCCTTCTTTAAAAGGATTGAGGGGATATAGAAAATCGCTGCACAGATTTTGGATTTCAACCTGTTTCCCTCAATTATATTAGAGGTTTCTTGTTTAGGATGTACTGAAATCAGGTATGAATCTAATACATTGAAATCATGGGGCAGCACTTCACCTTTATACAAAAACGCAGCTTCTTTCTTCCCATACAGGAGGCTGGTGAAGCGCAAGATAAACTTGACTCCAACTGAGATTTCAGAGCGAATAGCAAAGATGAAGAAGTAAAGGGAGTGAAGCGATGAACTGAGACTGGAAACAGATCAAAGTTAGCTCTCTTTGCTGCTCCGTTAACACCAACAAGACCCTTTCAGATTTATCAACTGCTAATGGAGCGTGAAGCCATCGAAAGCAGCAAATCTTTTAGAGTTATCACAGCTCAAGTAAATAAAAAAAAAAAAAAAAACACAGCTCTTCAGACTGGCTGCTAGTTTCTATACCTGCCAGTGTTTTAGATTTACAGGACTGTACTGCTTTTGATTTGAGATTCAGTTCTTTTGGTAGCATTGTCTTTTGATAGCTTAAATAAATCCAAACCTTTAATGGTTTCCTGTCCCTCAATCAATATTCCCAATTCCTTTAGAAGATCCAGTTTTGGCAGCAGAGCAAGAGAAGCAAATAAAAGTGCAGCAACTGAAAAGGAAAGAACAATTGAACTGAATTTGTAATTTGGAATTCACTGGGGGGCTTCTTTAACAGTCTTGTTAATTCATAGAATAATAAGTGGAAAAATTAAAAGCTTACAATTATAGGAGTTTTTTGGGCTGTTGAACAATAAACTCATTTTCAACCTTCTGAAATTCACTGTTTTTTATTCAATTACCCCAAAATACAGTATGTTTGCCACCTTCAATAAAGGAGATCAGGATCTATTGCAAAAAGCTAAAACTAAATAGCGTGATCTAAGTCACGTGCTTTGTAGTTTTATCTTTTTACTGTTGTCATCTACTGCACACCAAAGCGCACGAAAAAAAAAAATGTTTCAATGTGTGCTATTACGCCTTAAATTTCCTGTTCATTTTTTAAAGTAGTCAAACATGTCGAGAATAACGAAAGGTAAAAAAAAAAAAGTGAATGTAGTAGTTAACAGAGAAAGCAACAGCTTTTTAATTAATAATCACAGGTTTATTTTTGCAACTGTGACTGGATTTTTGATGTCTTTTGGAGGTGGCATGTGAAAACTTTTCATCCTCACTATTTGCTCGTTTCTTCCTTGTTAAATTTTCTTCCTGAGCCAAGCACAGAACATTAGTTAATTACAGATGCTAAGTTAGCTGTCTCTGTGAGTGAGAGTGAGCTTGACTTTCTGTCTTTCTGAGTTAGTCCTGTGATTGATTCTGGTACCCTCAATCTTATTGAGTGTCAGCTAAAGGAAATTGATGGATTGGTCTCACTGATGTAATTGCTGCTTGAATTTAAAAATGCTGAATGATGCCATTATGATTGGTTAAACAAAACAAATTTAAATCATATCCCTTTTTATACACTTTATTACTGCAAATGGATTTCAAACATTGGTGGTAGATTTATATATATATAAATATCTTTGTCATTACTTTGTTACAAAGTACCTGAAGCTAAGAGTATTAAAACTGATGTGCTGTATCAAAAAGATTTGATAGTGACCACCGTCTATAAGAATGTTTCAGGAAACTGGATGAAAAGCAGCTTTATTAATGCAAGTTTATCAATTCAATGTGATCCTAAAACAAAAGTAATTACCTCAGAGTTTTTCAATATTTTTGCAAAGTTTCAGCAGTAGGAACTAGGAATGCACTGATATGAAAATCTCTGCAAAAATCAATATCCGATGACACAGGGCTGGCGTTTCCTATCTGCTCCAGCTGAACACACCAAATCATCGATGGCATCATTATTATCCACTCCATTCCCCCTTACGAATCAAAAACACCAACTCGAGGAAACTCATCATCAGCTGTTAATATTGGCCCAGATTTAATTATCGGTCTTTCCTGATGTTGCTACCAATATAATGACACTATGTTGTATGGAAGAGTGAGCAGATGTAATGCAATAATTAAGCTTATTAAAATACATTTAATCGAAAAGTTGTTTTTATGTATTAGATGCTGTCTTACAGGTCTGTTAAGAATTTGACTCTGGACAAATGCTGAACGCCAGTGCAGAGCTTGCTCAGAAATGGCAGCAAGGAAATGTCTGTTTCTGCTCTCATCAATTGAGGCAGACTTTAAAAAGCTGGCTTGGTGTCAATTAGTTTGCAAATAAGCAAGGAAATTAAAATATTAAAGGTAGGCTTAAATGCTGTTGGAAATACTTTGGTTACAGTGCATGACATGGATGTTTATTTATTCTAATAATTTTTAGTCAGACTGTTTGGGCTTGAGGAAAGAAGCACAATCTTGAAACAAGAAGGTGAACATTACCATTAGTTCTCTTCGAGGCTGATGACGATGCATCACTGAGACCACTGCTCAGTGGAGTCGTCCAGTTTGTCCAAAACTTGCTTTAAATAGTAAAGAATGGCATAAAAATATCTATAGTACCCTGTTCTGGAGCAAAATTTGATAAACAACTACTTTCTAAGGATGATAGAATATGACACAAAGTAAAAGTGATAACTCAGAAGCACAGGGATCAAGAACACTGACAATGAGAGTCTATGGCAAGAATACTATCTCACTGACAACTTACTGAGATTGTCATTATTCTGATTTATTTTTCAATAACAATTTGTGAGATAGATATAACAGAACGTAATCTGTAGATATTCAAAACGGGATTTCTGTCAGTCTCTATACGTTTTTACTGTGCTTAATATTTCCTGAGTCCTAGAAATAACACTATGGCCACAAGATGGCGCTATTTGATACAACAATAGGCGGATCATGATTTGACATCGCCTCCTTCTCTGAAATTAATTAGAATTTTTTTCAGATATTACTGTATTTATATGAAATATAGACATACATAAATAAAGCTCCGGGCAAATTAAAAACATGTTGCTGAAATTTAAAACTGAAACATCTTTTAGTAGACAGATTACAAAAGTTCCTTTGCATTTAAAAAAAAAATAGGACTCCTGGGTTCTGGAAAGCAAGATGTGGATCCACTAACCTTTCAGCTGCCAGCTATATGTGAATAATTTTATTTAAGTTATGAGAATTAAATATCAGAAATTATAAGATGCAAAAAAATACTCCAGCCTGACATGCACAGATTTGACCAACCTCATTAGTTAACTTTTGCGTTATAACGGATTTAAAGTGAAACATCCAGACACAGACAATGATATTAAATAAAAAAATATATATTATAGATAAATTAATAAATAGAGGCAAAACTTATTGTTGTGTTTTAAGTCAAATATGTCTTGCTTTTTTTTATTTTATTTTATTTTATTTTATATTTACTCGCTGGTAAATAGGTAAACAGGGCCAGTGTTGGTAAATGGTGAGCTCTAATACCTTATCGGAGCCAGCAGACGTCCCGTTCATCCCCCCCCCCCAGCCCGCTGCTGTCTGGCTTATCAGCGCTGCTGCTACCTCTGCTGCTGGAGGAGGATGCTGCTGATGCTGCTGATGCTGCAGCGCAGATCCAGCTGAGGATGTCAACATGGAAACGTGGAGGGCAGCTGGAAAGCGCTGCTCAGCCAGGAGCGACTCACCAGAACGCGCGTAAACACCGCTGAGGTTTATCTGGTGCTTTACTTTCATCTCACACAGAACTGCCGTCTGCCCTCCGCTCACTTGGACCTGAAGTCGCCTCTTAAGGGGATTTTATTGACGGTTATCTCTCTTAACTCACCTGACGCGGCGATGTTTCCCTATTAAATGTCAGCGCGGCGCACAGGTGGAGGAGCGCGGATTGCCATCCATCCAAAGTTTGCTGGTGTTTTTCCTGGAAGGAGGGGATGGTGGAGAGGCTGATTGGAGATGGGGATGCTGTGTTGATTCTGGATGGATGCTGCTTGCAAGTTCTTGCCCTTCAAACGGAGCTGCGTTTTCAGATTGGAGACAGATGAGGAGCGCTCAGCGGGGTTCCTTCTTGGTGGAGAAAAGTTTGCGGTGGAGGATGGAAACAGCGCTCCCTGTTTGGTTTCTTGCTGTACATTGAGCTCAGTGATGCGCTCCTACACGTGGGTTTATTAAAGGTCCGAGAGTTCGTGAATGGATGTGTAATTCTGCAGGTTAATGGAGAATGTGTTTCCCATCTGTGGAGCCCTGCTCAGGCTGGAGGGGAGAGCAGCAAACACCCAGATCCGCCCCGGAACCATAGCAGTTTTATTTAAACAGGTAAGTTCATCTTTATCTCCATGCAAAGAAAAACTCTTGCAAAATTAACACAAGTTTTGGAATATTACAATTTATTTAACAGAATAGTTTTCCAGGTTGAAAACCAAAATCAGGTTGCACAAAACAAATAACAAAAAATGCGGTAGAAAACTTGATAAAGTCATTTATGTATGAATCTGTTTTAGCTGCTTGATTTAAAGAGCTGATGAAATCTAGCATATAAAAGTTTAAGAATTTAAAAAATGATCAAATCAAGAAAAGCTATCAATAATTTATTTTTTTTAATTTTCTTTACCAGTGTTTAAATTTCTCATTTTAAAATTGTATCACTTTTTTTCTGCAATTGTCAAAAAAAAAAAACATTTATAATGTTTTTTTATTTATTTAATGTCTTTGTATTTATTTTTGTGGCTACTATTTTTTGAACATTAACTTTTACTTTCGTTTTATTCTCATAGATTGACTTTCTTCATTGATTTAGTGTTTTCTCTTTTGTTTTCCATTTACACATTTTCTTTGTTGCACTTCAATATTAATCAATTTAGTTTTATACAGTTGTTTGCAGAAGCAATTTTGCACATAAATAGATTAGAAATGGATCCAACTAAAATCACACCCTGTCTGTGTAGATCTATGTGTTACAATCTACAAATGAAAAGTTAAAAGAATATCTTTTCTTTGCAGATTATCTTATCAGAACTACAGTTTTAACTGAGCTCCTGATTAATGTTTCAGTTTTTCTTTTTCTTTCAGTAACCGCCAAAAATCTCAAAATGCTGAACTGCGGATAGAGAAGTGTCCCACATCCAACTCCCTCAAACCCCTCTCTTTATCATTTTCCTTGTACTCAATCTTGTTCCTTTTCCTCCATCTTTCCTCATCTATTTGCCATCATCTCTCCTCCATAACGTCCAAATTTCTCTCTTCATCCTTTTTTTCTCCCCACACTGAGACACACCACCTCCTCCTCCTTCTTCATCCCGCAGCACACATGCAGGCCAAGAAGCGGTACCTGCTTGTGTCTGTGGTGGTTGGTCTACTTTTCCTCATCTACCTGTGGGGTCTGCAAATTGGGGAGTTCCAGCAGCAGTCATACCATTATCCCCAGATTCCCCAGTATCACCAGTACCACCAGCAGGACTACCAGTACTACTACCAGAGGCAGGAGTTCTACCAGCCCCAGCCCTTGCCTCAGAGACTCCCATCCAGACCTGCAAGACGCTGGCCAGAGCTGATCGAGGTGCTGGAACCGTACCTGGAGGGAGGAGAACAAGAGGTAAGGACACATTTTAAATAAATAGCAAAAAGAGGCTGTTTAAAACAAGCTTTTAAACAATGATCAAGGTTAAAAATCAAAGCGAAGTTAGTAATTAGTTTTTAAATATAATGCTGTTTTCTATTTGTTTTTCCTATTTTGTCACAATCAAATCTTTCAGCTCATTCAGACAAAAGGTATTTGAGAAATGGCTCTTTATAAAGGGATGAAAAAATTACTCAAAATTATCTGTACCAAAGGTTAACCCCTTTCAACCAGTTAGATTGTGAAGGAGTTTTATGACAAACAATAATGAGCATTTTTCTAACTTTATGGAGGAATTTTGGCCATTTGTTTTTGCCCCGTTATTTTTAATCCATTCCTTTATAGTTATTAACCCCAAATGTTCTATTCATGGTCATTTCTCAACATCTCAATCAGATTATATAAAGATCGTCTTGGTCACTACAAAACCCTCATTTTGTGTTTTGATTCAGTCACAGGTGGGCTTGCTAGTCTACTTTTGATTATTGTCCCACATAAATTCAAATATAACTAAATCCAATGAAAATGCATAATCCTGTCCCCAGACAAATTTTTAAAAATTCAACCAAAATCAGAGATTCATTGTGAAGTGGACTTCACTTGGTTGGCCAAGAGGTCCATGAGCAGAATGCAATAAGCAGGGGTGAAGTCCATGAAAAGAAATTTTATTTGACCGAAAAATCTAAGTACCTAAATTAATGTTATATTTGCTGATAAATAGATGACTCAATAGATACCCAAAGAAGGCAAATGATTATTGCTTGTTATGCTCACGCTAATGACTGACTCCTTAAGGTGGCATGTCAGACTGAGATGGTTTTTATTGTTCGCTCAATTATTAATCAGATTACCATGAAGAACAGTGCTTGCTTTGTCATTGTTATGGTTGTAACAGTGACTATTGAGCCCAAAGACGAAAAACTGAGAGTACAAGCGTCTACCAGCAGCAAACTGGAACGCTGTCAGTTTTCACCTCTAGAGTTTATGTCATCCCATTTCTAGGCTCTGAGGTAAATCAAATGCGCTGTCAAAACTAAACATGTAGCTGTGACTAAGACAGCTACATGTTCTAATTTTAACCCAGGAGAAAAAATCTGATGTGGTAGTCAGGTTTCAACCCAAAGACGGCAGTACTAAGATGGTTTTTGTCCAGTTTACACAAAACTGTTAACATTTTGCTCATAACATGTGCATGTCTTAGCCTCAGGTTTAAAAAATTGATGCTTGATTTTCTGGCATTATTCATGTGTTAGTCGGCTACAATAATCTTTCCATATCTTGAACCAACACACTACTACTTCCATGTTTAACTGTGTGTATAATGCTCTTTTTCTGCTTCACACTGGATGTAGCAGTTTGCCGTTAAAAAAAAAATCACCTTTTTTTCCTTAGTTCTTAGGGTGTTACCCTCCCACTGTGCTCAGTTGAGGCTTTTGCTTTTGAGCCGCTATTTCTCTGTCTTTTTGCATATATTTTATGATGCACAATGATCTTTATTGCTTTAGGCCCTGTTCTGGGGTTTTCTGTGACCTGACTCATCAGTGCAGTACAGTGGAGTAATTATGATATGGTAGGATGGGCACTTTTTGCAGGATTCCCCACTGTTCCCAGTTTTCTTCATTCGTGGTGAATGGCTCTTCATGGAGTTTTCTGGAATGCTTTATGTGGGGTGTTCTTACCTTTTTCTAAATATCAGTGATTTAATTTTACCATTAGGTATTGCTTTTTAAGATCTTTGCTTGCAAAACTGTATGTTGTCAGAAGAGTGATTGCTTGATTTTACCGACTAAACAGTAATCAGCCTCAGGTGCTGCTTGTGAGACTGAACCAAAAATTGTGGATAATCCCAGTAAATTAGACCTTTAATAAATATAATGTATTTTCCCATAGATCCAAGTTGGTGTGTATATATTGTTCCTCCTAAAGAAATAATCTCAAAGCTGCTTTTTTTTTGTCTTGGTGTAGTGTTTAAAAATCCCTCTATTCTGGTGCTTGTAAGCATTTATAATAACCCAAAAAAACAACAACAACAACAAACAAACAAAAAACAAACGAAAAAAACAAAGGAAATCTGAAAGGAAGTAAATGTTTTGATTTGTGAGAGTTCACACCTCTTTATTGTTTTGCTGAATTTATATCCTGTTTCGGTCTCACACCAGGTCTGAGCTTCTAATTAGCACACCTACAGTACACCTCTGGTTTGCATTTCATTTCAAGGTGGAACTCCATGGTCCTCTGAATAAAATATGAGTAAAAGATCTTATATACCCGCATTTGATAATCTGTTTATATGTACCGTATGGGTAACAACACATGCTTCTTGTCCATAGTTAAAATCCAGAATAAGGGTCGACATGTCCTGGAATATCACACCTTATGGTCCAGACATGTCATATTAATCTAATTTGTCTTAAAGAAGGTCTTTAGTGAGTGATACTTGTATTAATTCCCACTGCTTTTTCTTGTAATGAGTTACCCTGGCCAGATATAATCAATTTAGCAATGAAAGAGAAAAAGACTCAACTAATCTAATGCTGCAAGTAATTTTCCATTAATACCTTCCTTTCCTAAATAATGATTTATGAAACATTTACTGTCCCAGTTTTACACAATTTCCTAATGTAATTATCAGATGAACCATATGAATAAATTTGCATATATCTATGTATGCACGAATTATTTATCTAGAAGTTTGAATTAAGAGTGATAAGATTCCCCTTAATTTAAATTTCAGAGCATCTTTCAGTTGGTTTGGGAGCAAAATACGAGCAATATGTGCCAAAAAAAATGTAAAACAGACTAACAATTTGCACATAATTAAAAGTAAATAAGTACAATTATTAAATCAGAGACTTGTTAAATACATAAGAAACACAAAAACATAATATAATGCCAAAAAAAAAACAACTTTTCCTCAGAAATGAACAGGGCTTTTAAGAAAGATTCTGGATTTGAAACTAAAGTAATAGGATAGAAGCTTAACAACCTCTAAGTTTGGACACTGAGGTTCTGATGGAAGTTTAAAATGCCTCCATCTACTGTGTGCTGATGTCTTGTGGGGCTGTGTGGTAATTACACGGCTTCAATGATAGGCAAGGTGTCATTAACAGCTTTATATTGATTAGAAGAACTCTATCCCAGATCTCAGAGGCAACCAGTGTAGGGCTGTTAGATCTAAGGAAAGCATTAGATTGATTAATTAACCTGAGCTAAAAAAGTATAACTTTGGTAAAACAACCAAACCAATACAGTGAGGATATTAACCTCCATGCAGAATATTTCCCAGCTGAATTTTAAACACAGAAACGTAAAATGTGCCCTCTCCTTTTTGTCATGCTTCTGATACCTGATGTTCAAGTTTTAATCTTTATATTAATTTTGAAAAGGAGTAAAGTGTAAAAAACCTGTCCAGGGTTACCAACCCATCCCAAGCAGAAACAAGCAGGTATAGATAATCATTAGATGATGTTACAAGATAAAACGTGTATTATTTTCAGGTCTAAATACAGCATCTAATAATTTAATTATGACTCACCTTTTTACATTTATGTAAAGGTTGGTATTTTCAAAGATACATACAATTTCTATGATTTACCTCAAAAGGCCTGATTAGATGTTCTTTGTCTTAGTAGTTATTTTACGCTTTAAACTACATCGTTAAGAGGATGCTGCCTAATTTTAGATTGCATAAAGAAAATATTTTGTTCAAATCTCAGCAGGGTCCGTAAATGTAAAATACACCTTTCTGTTTAAATGGTCACTCTAATGAACTGGTGAAATTGTTGGAATCTATGGCTGAGGTACAGATTTTCATATTGCCAATTAACACATTTAGTTTTGCAATAAATATCTCTCATGGGGAAGATCATTGTCACGGAAGGCTGACTGATTTAATCTTCACTTTAATTAAACACAGACTTCCAAATGAATGTCTTTTGCAAACATGTTGTTTATACCAGCTTGGTATCAGGCCTTCTTGGACTCTGCTTTGTTTTATCGTCCAGGAAAAAGGGAAATGTAGTTTTTGCAAAAGGAGATGCACAGAATTCTTTGCTTAAAGTCAGATATTATTTATCTCTCAAAATTTCTTTTTACAAAAGGGTCGCATCTTTTTGTTCTGCTAAAATAAAAACCTTTTCTGATCATTTCCTGATTGTATCTTTAAAGTATTTAGTGAATCATTGCAAACTGGATGATTAAAGCAGGATTATGTTGAAAGCTTGATAATTACTAACAACACTTTGTATGTTTAGTGTACTTACTAAGGGTTCATGACTATATGTTAACAGTTCTTAAAGAAGGAAGACCGGCCTGGTATTTCATAAAGATAAATCTATAACATACATTTTACCTTATGGTTGAACATGGCTCAGAATTGGTCGCCCTGATCAGACAACGAATAGAACTTTTTAACTTGGTTGTCAAACCAAACTTAAGGTGTTTAAGTCTTGATTTAAACCAATAAGATTTTACTGAATTACACTTAAAAAATACTTGTTTTTGATCCTTAAATAAATGTTTCCAAACTAAGAATGTTTGTGTGAAAACACAGACTTAAGATTAGTATTCATGCATTTATATCCTCTAGTCTGTATATAAAGTTTTATATGAAACAACAAAAAAGTCCTTGAATGCCTTCAGTTGTTTTTGAAAACCAATAGGAGGAGATATTTTTTTTTAAGTCTGCACCAGGTATCTTTTCATATTTAAATTCCTGTCAAATCCTAAGCCCAGCAGGGTCAATACTGTACCTATATAAATGAAAAGTTAAAGCTATATATTCCATTTCAATCCCCAAGGATGTCTGACTACACTTTGTCATTATCAAAGACCAGGTCAAAAAAAACTTGAGGGAAATGGCTCCGTCCAAACTTTTGCTCCTGGACTCTGAAGTGAGCTTCTTTTGATTTATTTTGGATGGAGAGTCTCGACTTATTGACAAAGTATTTGAAAAGATTGTGTTCAAACTTGGCATTCCTTTTATCTACTCTTATTTTCCCTATTACTTAGTTTGACCTTGTACTTTTTAATTGGACTTTATGTAATAATAAATGTTCTCATAAATGCCTCTTTATAGCAAAATGATGACCAGAAAAAAAAATTTCATTATCCGAAAGAATAGTAGCTCTGAAAATAAACTCAGTTTGAAAATAGAATGTAAATATCCTTTATATAAATATCCTCCTGTGAAAGAATTCACATGAATCAGCAGCAAAGTGATAGGCAAATTAAAACATGCAGATAGACACAGATGAAAATATATTAAACACAAATCAAGAATAAGAGTCTTTACAATAAGGGCAAACTTGTAATACCAGAGAAAATTGTTGTACATCAGTCTGTCATTGGAGGAGCTCATCAGTTCTGTAACTGATAGATATTAACCTATCTGCAGAGCAGATACTTTAGTCATTCGCTCTTGCACCACCTGCATCAGATTTAGGAGGCATCTTTGGACAGAGTTGGCTTTCATGATGAACTTTACAGACTGCTTCCTTTCAACTGTAGGTAAGATATTGCTCCCACATCAGAAAGGTATGCGGTAGCTACCCCTGCCCTCCAGAAGATCAGTGTTTTGACTTCAGATAATTTTATTGTTCAGATGAACACCCAGAGTCACTGAGGTTCACTACCTCAATGCAAGTGTGGTGCTGGGTCTGCACCTGCAGAAATCTACCTGCTCCATTGTTTTTTCCTGCTTTCTTTAGGATATTTTTCTGCTGGTTAAACATCATCCTAATTTTATAGATTGATAAATGATAAAGGCATTTCTTATGTTTCTTTTTTAAATCTAATTATCCAACCTGTGTTTGTCTGTTAACGCAGGAGGACAGCCCTCAGCTCCATCACCAGCACACCTCTCCTCATGAACGAAGGGCAATCCGAGATATCATCTACAAAAACAAGCGTTGCCGCATGGAAACCTGTTTTGACTTTTCACGTTGTCAGTCGGGCTTCAGGGTTTACATCTACCCTCCGCAGAGAGGGGATGAGATCTCTGAGACCTACCAGAAGATCCTATCCTCCATCAGGGAATCTCGCTTCCACACCACTGACCCCTCCCGAGCCTGTCTGTTCATTCTGGCCGTGGACACATTGGACAGGGATCAGCTCTCAGCTCAGTACGTACAGAACGTCAGATCCCGCATCCACAGCCTGCCAACGTGGAATGATGGCAGGAACCACCTTATATTTAATCTGTACTCGGGTACCTGGCCAGACTACTCAGAGGATTTGGGATTTGAAGTGGGCCAATCGATGCTGGCAAAGGCCAGTGCAGATGTGGCCAACTTCAGACCAAACTTTGATATATCCATCCCTCTCTTCTCCAAAGATCACCCACTTAAAGGAGGGTCAACGGGTTATCTAACACTCAATGACGCATCGCCCTCCAGGAAATACCAGCTGGTTTTTAAAGGGAAGCGATACCTGACCGGCATTGGTTCAGAGACAAGAAACGCTCTCTATCACATCCACAACGGGGAAGATATTATTTTACTAACCACATGTAAACATGGCAAAGACTGGGAGAAGCACAAAGACTCCCGCTGTGACCGGGATAATGAAGACTACTCAAAGTAAGACTACTTTTCTTGATCTCTTTCCCTTTTATGATCCCTTTAGCCATAGTCTATGACAAGCATCTGCTCTTCTGAATATGTGACTTAAGTCAACCAGTTTCTGCTTTCTTGTTGACTAGTTTAAGGAATGTGCACCTCTTTTCTCTTGTCTCATTTTTACTAAGTAGACCAGAATTGTCAGTTATGTTGTCTGGAACATAAAAAAAAAAACAAAGCTGCACTCGGGGCTGCTTTCATTATAATATGCTTCCTCTTATTTAGATGGAAAGTTTGTGCATCATTGTGTCCCAGCATCAGCATCACTCTCTGTGAATCTTTAAATGCTGGATTTATTTTTTGCATACCCTCCTTCAGAGAGTTTGCAATAGCTGCTTTTTGTGATACCCTACTTCTACAACCAGGCTGGGTGCTTTTTTTGCAAAGAGAAATTGTCATGGGAGCTGGATTTTACTATTGCTGTGCATCTCTGAGACAAAAAGCAATAGGCCTACAGATGTATAAGCATTTTTGCCTTTTTTCTGTAAAGTGTTTTGTATGTGGCGGATGTAGAGCAGCTGCAGAGCAGAGAGGCATCACTGAGAAGCTGTGCTGAAAGATAAAAACATTTAGAGAGAAATGAAAATCAGACGCTCAGAAGAGAAGTTAGGTTTGCAAACTTTCAGCTGTAGTTCACAGCTAAAGAAGCACAACTGCTAGATATAAAACCGAGCACCCACCCCCACCCCTGTTTGCACTCTTTGTCCACAAATTGAATTTCCTTTCTTTGTTTAAATTGAGTAAAAAACAAAAAACCTGCTGTTGCCAAAAAATTGAGTGGTGTGAACCGCTGATTAAAATGAACAATGAATTTGTGCTTTTTGTAGCTTACGGAAATATTGGAACCTTCTTGCTTTAAAATTTTTTTTATTGTTGATTCTGATAGGGTGTAAGGAGTGTGTTCAAAATGTGTTTGGGAGCTGTGTTGTTCAATTCCCATTGTGGAGAGCTGGTCTCCTGCATGTTTTAGTGCTTCCCCTCAGCCTAACCCACCTAACTAAAATGAACTGCCCGTATATCACACCACATTTTTGTTTGGTATCAAAGCATTCTTTGATCGGATAAATTTGCCAGTTCCTCCACAACATTCAATCATGGCAAGCTATTACTCTTTCTCTACAAATTTCTCTATATTTTTGTGCCATTATTTCTCTATAGGAAGGCATCAAAGATCTAGATGTTGAGATGTTTGCCTGTTTAATAACACCACTAAGGATATGACACTTTATGTACAATTCAATCTCTCCTAACTTCTCTATCTGATTTTTGTTTTCATGTAAGTTTGCAGTGTGACCACATTGATAAAATCAAAATAACAATTATCTTTGCTGTCAACTCTTAATATATTTGTCATGAGCTAAACATCTGGAAATTCCTTACTGGAAGATGTGAGAGATGTATAATATCGGTGGATCTTAATTCCAAATTACAACCAATACCTACAAATAAAAAACACTACCTTTTTTTTTTTTTTTTATTAGACCTGGTGTATTACTGTTATTTATATGGTCAGAGCAAGGACTTTATACCCAATGTGTGACTGAGCAAAAACCATAAAACAGAATTTTAATTCTTTAAATATAAACATGAAGTAGATTAGCTATTTTAAACCCTGGTGTCATGTATTAGAATCTAGGGTAAGAATAAAAAAGAGTAACTTTCTTTGTCCATTCAGTCCTTATTGATATATGCTTTCCTAAAGTTTCAGGTCAGTTTTCACCTCTGGTATTTTGAAGCGGCACACAAACGGCAGATATGCAGGGAAGTCCAACAGCAGATGGCTCCATTTTGTAACAGAATGGGTCTGGTATAAAAAGTGAAATGACAGGCACCTGTTGAAGTCCGACGCTTTGTATAAAAAACAGCCAAGATAAAAAAGACACAGAATTTCCTTGAAGAATCTTCTTAAAATTTTCATCTGATTTTATTCTCAAAAAAACAGCAACAACAACAAGTTACATATAAAATTACAGTATAAGCATATTTTCACACGAGAAAAATATGGCACAAGTTTGAATAAAAAATTTCACAATTTCAGTGTTTCAGTACAGAAATGTTGAAGTATGACACTGTTAAATTATTAAAAGTGCATTGACAGAAGCTATTGTTATGTGTTAGTTTTAGGCGTTCATAGAATGGGAAAATTATTTCTAAAGGCTAATTTAAGGCATGGCAAACTTAGTAAAGTGTATTAGATTTACTGAAAGCTCTTTAATAGACAAGTTTCACACCACCACTAGAAAATAAGACTGTCATGAGTTATTTGACAACCAGCACAGAAGGTGGCTGAACGATATTTAACTGATTGAAAATTTTAAATACTGTAGATGTCAGGCATATTTGCTTTCGCCAAATCAATGAAAATAATATAATGATTATCCATATATTTGTCTCGTTTAACTTATTTTTTTTAACCTATCTTAACAAAAACACCCTTGGCTGTTTCCAGATGGTCCAAACTATGCAGGAAACTCCTAAAAATAACTATAACAAGCAACGGTGTTAACTTTAAGGGCTTTTTATGGTGAAACTTTTTTAGAACATCTCAGACCTTTTAGAGACCCGATCATCTGGTTAGCTTATCAGAGAGGTAGGTTTTAATTTGAAGAACATAGAATCCTTAGAAAGAGGCACCTTTTTCTATGCTTGTATGCTTACTCCTTTAAAGCAGTCATAGAATGATTATATAGGGTATTTGGTGCTGGTCCTTAAGGTCTCTGAATAGGGTGTGTAACGTTTGTTGGACTTAAAATGGCAAATTTGCTGTTCTATGTGCCCTAATACAAGCCTGGTTAAGAGCCCCAGAATGAAACAACATGTTTTCTTCCTTTTATGGTATGTTCATGAATATGTAAATGAGCTGTGTGCTGATTGGTTGGTTTACAATGAGCAAAGTTACTCAGCAAAGATGCATAGCAACAAGCACTTACTAACTGAAACCTCAAGATTGTTGATATGGTAGGGTGACCAGACATCCTCTTTTTCCTGGACGTGTTCTACTTTTCATGCCTAAAAAAACGTCCAGGATTTTGGTTGAATACAGTGCAGCACGTAGTCGAAACACACCAGGCATTCGAACTGAGCTGTCAGCTCCGGGGCTGGTCCTGGAACCCTGTTGGACGGGGGCAGGCAGCCAGCGGGGAACAAAGCGACCGAACCCGACCCGGTGATGCCTGGATAGCCTGGACCCTGTTGGCCCCGTGCTTCTGCCTGGTAAGGCAGGCGGGGGGAAGAATACCTTCTCCAGGTTGGGTTCCGTCCCTCAAAAATCACAGTGTCCTCCTTTTCTCAAAGGAAACCCAAATCTGGTCACCCTAGATATGCTAGCATTGCTATTAACAGCTTAGCAACACATTAATACTTACAGCTTGCGATTGTGATGGCCTTACGGTCAGAACAGCCCCTCGTTTCAGTAAAAGCAGTTTAGCAAATCTTGCTTTGAACTGTCCAAGATTTTGAAAGCTGTCTTTGGTGAAATGTTTAGAGCAAATGAACAGCTGAGCATCAAACTTTGCAGGGATCTTTTGATACACAAAAATAATCCATGCATGTTGAGTCTTCGGATCCTTGGAAAGTCTCCGTGCAGCCTGGAACACTGCATTTACGCCCGTGGTTCTGGCTAATTTTCAATCGAGAAACTGCCTGCTTTGTAATTCTTGTAAACCCAACTGTAGGCTAAGCAGCTTAACTGGTGTCTTAAATTTACCTCTATTCATGTTCTTGGGCCAGGGAACCAGTGGGCTGGTCTGTATGTCAATTTCGGGGTGTGACAAAAGTTCAGGCCAGAACCAAATAAGGAGACATCCATGAGTTGACGTAAATTCGGGGCTTTGTTTGGATTTGCTCGTTTTATGGTGGAAGTTTAGAATTGTGAGATTTGCAGAGAGAGGAGGTGTCGATGGGGTTTGAACTTCTCTGTACGTCCATTTCACCCACTGAACTATCGTTGTTCATTTATGACAATGTAAACTCGGTTTTGCATTCTATGACCACTTTAGTCTGACCTTTTTTATGTCTACAAAAAGCTTTTGTAATTTTTTTTCTGGTCTCTTTATCTATATAATATATTCTAAAAATTAACTTGGATTACGAAAATTACTTTGCAAAAAATGTGTTCCACCTTACAAATGTATGAAGTATTTCATAAATGAGTTCTTTTTGTACAGGAATGTGAAGAAAAAGAGCAGCTTTTCCCCAGTTTGTTTGTATTGTACTGTAATATATTTTTTTTACATTTCTCAAACTTGATATATAAAACATACTTACAAGTGAAGTGCATAAAGTAAATGATTGATGCATCATGTATGAATTAAATTTCTTAAGATAAACAAGAAAAAAACAAGCAGCTCAGCTGGTACAGAGTTTAATGGCTGTCTTTTCTGTGTGTGAGACAGATAAATTGACAGAGCAAAATGATCATTAGTGTTTTAATCTCATCTGAATGTGGGAGCCTGTTTTCAAAAGCTTTCAACAGAGTTTGGTTTAAAATTTTCTTCAGCGAATACTAATTTAGCCTCCTGCTGTGTCATGTTATTGCTTTATTATTGTAATTTTTAAAATGATGGTCTTTCTCTCCAAATGTTTCAATTTTACTTATTTAATTTATGCTTTCATTTTGTTTTAGTGAATTATACTTTCATTGTTCAGTCAACCTCTGCTGCTTGTAAATGTTCGTTGTAAACAGAGGTAACCGTAATGCAAAAGGAAAAATCTACTGCTGACTAAATTATAAACTAACCAAAAGGGTCTGAGAGCTACAACAGTTGATTACAATGAATACTGTGCAAGTGGGATTTTTTGGTTGGAGAAAATTAACAAGTTTGCATGGCTACTATGGAATAACTACAGAACAGATTTATAACGGAACCTTTAGTTTGTAAAATCTTTGAGTATAAATTTATTTTTTTTACAAGATCATGCATACATTTTTCTAAACTACCTTGATATAAACATGTTTTTGATTCAGCAAAACTTTTTTTCTGTAATTTTTCACCTTTTACTGTATCTTTAGGTATCAATATTGATTTATTTGACATTAACTCTGAGTAGAAATAAAATCCACATCACTGCTTGCTGATTAGAGAAAATGAGCACTCGTTTACTGGGCAAGGGAAGCACAGTTGAGGCAAGTGCTTCTGCAGGGGGTAGGTAAAGACAACTCTATGTCTTCACTACTCATCTTTCAAGGACAGGGAGGGGCTGCTGCTCAGAGAGTTGAATAAACAAGGATTATTGCGACATGCAGGACTTAAGGGAAAATAAAGTTGATTTATTTTCTGTCAGTGAGCCCCAGGGCAGCTGTGGCTACAATGTAGCTTGCCACTATCAGTGTGTGAGTGTGTGTGTGTGTGAATGGGTGAATGAATGTAGTGTAAAGCGCTTTGGTCAAGTCTCCTAACTTGAAAAAAGGCGCTATATAAGTACATGCCATTTACCATTTTACCATTTTACATGATATTGGCCCTTCAAATGCGGGAGGACGAACACTATTGGAATTTGCCATTTGTTATGACAAAGACTAATGCGTTTTCTCATTCCTTCCCTTGTCTTTCATCCATTTTAAGGGACTAGCACTTAATAATAACCAGAAAAACATGTTTCATCACCAGAGTTGGCATTTGCTTAGGTTTTGTTTTTCATTTACTTCTGTATAATCAGAAATGTTTTTCATATATACCAGTACAACCATCGGGACAGCAATGAATATGAAAATGTATCCATTACTATAATATACCACCAAACAATAGTTTTTGTTTTGCAAGTTTATTCAAACAAGTTTACAAAATTATCAAATTTGGCATTATTTAAAAAAAAATTTAAACTGTGCAGTAATTGCTGGAATATGTCATGATTTGATATTAATACGTTTTTATTTTCACGCATCATTTACCATGCAAGCAAACAGCAGTAGCCTTATTGTTTCATATCAGCAAAATAAGAGATTTAGCGCTGGTCCTGTTGCTGATTGATGTCCTCCAGCTGGTTTCCTTGACCCCTAAGTTACGAAATAGAAAACAAGATTATCAGGAGATTAACTTTTTTTTTTTGCATGTGTTTTTAACACGTCTTAGAGGCATTTTAGATCAGAATAAAAATAACTGGCAAAGGACGGATCAGTTTCAAAAAGAAAATCTGGGTATATCTTAAAAAATAGGTTTCATTAATAATTTTGTGAACCTATGAAATTTTCATATCTCTGTCTTTACAGTGTCAGGGAGCATTTCAATTGTTATGTCAGATAATTTTTAAGTAAATTTTTATGTGAGATGAATCTCCAGATTTTTTTGTGGAAACCCACTGCTCCATGACCATTTATAATTTTTTATGTATCTACAATGACTGTAATACTTCTTCAGATAAAGTTATCTTATAGACTTAAACGTAGTTACTGTACAATATTTGTTGTGCTATATCTCAGTTATTTAATAAATTATTAAAAAGGAACTTACCGCTCCATTTTCTGACGATTGCGGTGCTCTCTGTATGCTACATTGAAAAATAGATAAAAAAAAAATAAAATAAAATGCAACTTTTTAATGAGTAATGTTGAGCTTTAGACTTAAATTTGTAAGAATGTGCACCTGTAACAGGGAATTACCCAAATACAGTAGATAAGCGCATCTTATGGCAAAATGATGTCTGTTTTCATTTCAGTTTGCATTAGTACTTAAATTGTGTTTCTGCATCATTATGATAAATGTCTGTTAACAATAAATTCCAAAAACTTTATTTACCTCGATATCCATGGACAATTGATTTTACCCCTCTCCATAAAGATCCAAAGAAACACTCTCCAGGTTCGGCCATAATGACGACCAAAGACAGGACGAGGCAGATGGTCAAACACCTCATTCTGCTGGGAATAAAAATTATGTCTGGGTTATAATACATCGATTGCTAAAAAGTAGATTAAACCAACACAGATTATCTAAATCACCATTTACCTTGTCAAAGACTTTGTCAAAGTTGAGGACCTGTTGAAAGTTTTCTAGCGCCTATGGGACTGTGTCTTATTATATACATCCGTATTTTAATGGGCTGGGCTGAGATCGCTCAGAATTTGTTTCATGCATTATTTGAGCCGTTACCTAGCGTGTCAGAATGTTTTAGATGCTTTTGAGATGGTGTTAGATAAAGGTTATCACGGCACTCCCTTTAGAGGAACAACATGCAATATGTGTCCTTAACGTGTATTACTGAAAAACATCTCACTGCTCGAGCAGGTGCAAAGCTCTCAAACACTTTTAATGCTTTTGATGTATCTTGCTCTCATCCACATTGCACTTGATTTAGACATGCTCAGAGTCAGAATGGCGGCTGTCCTGCAGCTGCAGTAGTCAGGACAAATAGGGTGAGCTGCATGATATGCAGATCTGGGCCTGACCTGCGAGTGTGGCTGAACCGCACCCTTGCATGCACGGTGGGTGCAGTGCAGTGCTCTGCATGTGCTGACAGCATCTAGTAGAAGTGAGAACAATTATTTCACATTAGGTTTTCTTTAGACTTGGGCTTACTATTTAAGTTAATTGGTAGGGTATTAAATATGTTAATACTTTTTGCTGTAAATTATTTTTAAAATGTTCCAAACTTATTGAAGGATTTAATTTATTTATTCTCTGTCCTACTCAGATACTTAATGATTTTTTTTTACCCTAGGACAACAAACAGTTCCCAATACGTGTTTCTTTTCGCGGTGTCACAGCAGTTTAGAGATAGTATAAAGATATCTTAATTTGCCCATTATTGACATATGCAGTTTCTTATAAAAAAAGGTCAAAATTTCTGCTAAAAATAAAGAATTTCTGTGCGTGCAGCCCTCTGAATAAACAACCTAAGCTTTCCTTATAAGAGGAAGCTTTTATTGCATAATAACTTAAGTCACTATGGTTTAGCATGAAAACATTTAGCATGAAAAATATCTGAAATAACTGGTCAAAGTGAGAAGAATGCAAGAAAATGAAATGGTAAAAATTTGGTTTCACCTGATGTAAAATCAAGAAATCCAAACTTTTTGTTGGTCAACAATATATTAAATGACAAAAAGGTTTATGATAAATAGTCATAACCTAGTCAGAACATTAAGGTTGATCATTCCTGTTTAGGTGACATTTATTTTTGTGTGATTTATGTATATTTTGCCTTATTAGGTTAGGTTGAATTGAATGACAGATGCTACAGGAAGGATTTTAATTTTAGTTTATTTTAGTTTGAATGATTTGTTGTGATGAACTGATGTTCATAGGGGTCGCAAAGTGGGGACCAGTGTGCACTATAGGGTGGCTGGAAAGAGATACACCCCAAAAACACTTTAGGATCAGTATACACTAATCTCAATTTATTAAAGGGAAAATGAATGAGCAAAACATACATCAGCAAAACCAGACTGGATTTTCATAAAGCCCTTGCTAAGGTTATGGTTCTGCATCATATACATATTGAATAGGTTAACCAGTTGTTCTTTACCTCTAATTACATAGAACAGTCCTGGATGGCTGCAGAGACACATAACTTTCCATTCTCCCCATAAAGCACAAAACCTAATACCAAAAAGAGCAAGAGTTCTGTTTTTGTCTTATTTAATTTCAGTATTTGATTTGAATATTTAATTAATTACAGTAATTTTGTTTCGCAGTTTGTACTTAATATATTAGTGAAGAATTGAAAAATCTGTCATGAGGCGGTATTGGGTTGAGGACCCAAAAGCAGAGGCAAGGTGGCAGAGGTGAATTTTGGTGGGTTTATTGAGGTTTACAGATACGGAGGCAGGAATCAAAGGTCCAACAAAATAACACTAACCAGAACCAAGGAGACATCAGGGGAAACCAAACTCTAGGAGTCAGGGAAAGACGAAGAAAACAGACAGACGTTTTGACGAGGATCTAGCAAACAGGAACTGAAGAGGGAGGGCTTTTAAAGGGGACAGAGACAAAGAGAGGGCTAACGAGGGAATTGAAAATAGGTGAGGGCAGAACAGAAAACAGAGCAAGGGAAAGAGGACACAAGAGGGCAGCAGAGGACAACAAATGGAAAACCAAGAAGACTGAATACTAAAAAGAAAATCATAACAGAAACAGAAACCTAACAAAATCAAGTTAGTTAGGACATTCAACCTTAGAATTGCTTGTTCCCTTCTAGAAAAAAAAAAGTTTGTTAAGTACAGGTATTCCAATGGGACCAACATTCCACCTGGTAGGGTTGCCCATAGGGGCCATAGGGGGGCCATGCCCCCATTCTTTTTCCATGCCGGCTTGCATGTGAGAAAGAAAATAATGTGACATCTGTTCAATTAAATGTAAAGTGACAAGATTAAGATATAAATTGTAACATGCTCTTTGCAGGGTAACAGGTTGTTGGTTTTGCATGTTGAACAAAGGTATTTAGTGTACATTTCTGACAAGGTTCTCCCACTTCAGTTCTCAGAAGCTACCCTGATTTTTTAGGTGCATCCATGCTTCCAAACACTGAATTACATGAAGGTCTACCTCTTCAGGACTTAGTGACCTTATGGACAAGGGGACATCTAAACCTTTCTGGACAGTAGCTGTTGAGGATACAACTATATAACACCTCATAATGAGACACTGTAAATTAAGTACATGCCTTATTTGTACTTGTCTGCATAGTGTCAGCGGTTAGTCTGTAGGCATCATTTATTTCAAATCTAACGTGCTGAAGTACAAAGATAACACAATGAAATGAAAAATCTGCATGTCCCGCTGCTAATGGACTGCAATATGTTTTACAAAGTGCAGCGATGTCAGCAGCACAGTTGAATTTGTCTTTGCTTCACGAACCTGCACAATAACTTCCTGAACTGCTGTTTAAATGCTCAAAAAACTGGCATCTTTATAGGGTAGTCTAATTTCCAGATTTAAAAATAACAACTATTTTATAAGTAACCCCCACAAGCATGAGGGTGGCATATGAGCAGCTGGGGCTGCTGTTTTCAAAGAATCGTTGGTGTTATACACACATGAGAGCAAGGGTTTTACATCTGGATAGTAATACAATAACACCAGCAACAACAGCAGCATATTCTGTATTCTCAAAGTGAAAGTGATCTTAATGGCTAAATGAACAAGACCTGCAAAAAATCTTTATCTACACCATTTTAATTAAATAAAAGAAATTCATGAAAGATGAATGAGTAGAAAATAGCTTAATAGGCTAATCCACAACTTAAACATTGTATTAATTGTCTTTAGTCTAGTTTTGCATCAAACTCCACCCGTTTCCTTATCAGTAGATCACTTCTAGCTTTTTATTTTTAAATTTTCAATCTGTTGTGAAATTTGAAAGGATTTTCCTTGGATTATACTAGGACCAATGCAAATTTTCTAATATATTTCTAACCTCCCAGTAACTGATTTTAGCTTATTCTAATATAACTGTTTTCATAGTCTTCCACCTATGAGCAGTTAATTATAGATATTAGAAGCAGAGGTGGTGCCACACGCTGTAAATGGAGTTGCCTGAAAATGTGTGTATCCTGGTATTTTATTAATAATAAAGGTAAAATAGTAAGTGATTAACATTTTAATCACGTCTGAATGTAGACTATTAACAGTAGACTACAAAAGGCTACCAGGATTTACAAATTGACCTTGTTTCATAGAACATGCAGGAGATTAAATTCAGAAAGTACATATGTGGAAAATGGCAAAGAAACATGTAGTAAAAAATAATAAAATGAGTAAAGCATTGGACAAAACTTCTATTACTGTGTGTTTTGCTTTTGAATGAAGACTTTCTGTTGTTGTTGAACAATCTTCTGAAGAGGATGCTCACTGTTGTCCTTGATCTACTTCCCTTTATAAAGAATTTTTCTAAGGGAAATTATCTCCAGAGGTTCTCTAGCACAGAGCTGACCTTATTCATTAGCTTGTTGAGTAATTTGTTCTGTTACCCCAACAGATGATGGCTGAAAAGATGAAACTCTCCACTGATAGAGGATATGCTCCGTCTTTCTGAAAAAACACTAAAGGACCTAGGCTTTCTTAAGGAAGTACAGTCTGTTTTGTCCCTTCTTGTAGACAGTCTCACAGTTGTGTCTCCTGTCAAATTTGTTGTCCAGGTGAACATCAAGATATTTCTACTCTTCCCAAATCTACCATCCCCATTTTGTTGACATTCATAATCAGATGGTTGTTTCCACACCATGCCACAAAGCGGTTCACCAGCTCTCCGATCTTGTCCATCTCTGATGCATCCACTGACTGCACAGTCATTCGAGTATTTCTGCAGATGACAGGACTCTGTCTTGTGCTGGAAATCAAATGTGTAGAGTAAAAAGGTGAGATTACCGTCCACTGTGGTGCTGTTGTGCTGCTGACTACTTGATTAGACAGTTGACCTTTCAGACTCACAAATTGTTGGATTTATTAATCACTTTACCGTTTTACAGTATATACTTAAAGTCTTGTTGCTCTCTAGTTGTGGACATGTTTCCACACCATGTCCACAACTAGAAGTAACTAATGTCTGCTGAATACGGATGGATATTGGCATGGGTGTTGCAATAAGATATGTGTCACGATACTTCGGTCATAACACAATATTATCACGATATTGCAAAATGTTTATATATTGCAATATTTTTCCTAGCCTTTAAAACTAAATTTATAGCTAAAAACGGGCAAGGGCTGTACATGTTCATCAGATGATATTGACCATGTTGTTATCTATATTTTTTGGGCTTTGAGTCAGTCCAAGTCATCTACTGTGACAGCCTCAACTACAGATATGGTGCCGCGGCACACAGTAAAAGGGCTCCACAGAACTATCAGACAGAGTGGCGGTACAGAGGTAGTCCATTTTCCCTCATTGTTTTGGTTAAACGTTTTTCTGTTTTTTTATCAATATTATATTGGGCAGCTGAAAATCGCGATACATCGCAAAATCAGATTTTTTCCCACACCCCTATTACTGAATGCACAAAGGGGATCATGTGCTAACTAGAAGCGGTTTGATTAATTTCGATTGGAAGACAGTGAAAAGTAAGCCCCCAAAAAGCTGATGACTGTATCAAATATGTCTTGTAAAAATGCAAAGTCCTGTGACAATTTAACCACACCCTGATTGCATGAAATAAAAAGGCCTG